CTTTTTTTTTTTTTTTTTTTTTAATGTATTTGCTACAGAATCTACAGGGACTCACTATGTAGATTTGACTCACAGTGATTGATTCTCCCCTATATGTTTTCATACTCCCAGGTGCTGGAATTACAGGGGAACGCCACCACACCCAGTCTCAATCACTGTCTCAGCACGCCCCGGGGTGGGGTTGGGGGTGGGCGGGCAGTGGGGAATCAACTCCGGCTGCTGAGCTCTGCTTAAGCAGGCGCTTTAGTCTGCTGAGCCATCTTCCCAACCCCGAAAATTCCTTTTCTTTCTAGTAAAATAAATTACAGTTTAGCAATATTGAAAGAAACAATTCTGTGTAAATTTAAGTTCTGTTCACAATTCTCAGGTATTCTTCCTTGTACCTTAACCTTGGCCAAAAGTACAGAGATAGTAAGTAAAAAGAATTTTCATTTTATTTTATTTTGTGTGTGTGTGAGGGGGGCACTGAAGACCGAACCAGAACCCATACACTGAGCTACATTCCCAGCCCCTTTTTACTTTTTATTTTTAAATAGGGGATTGCGCTATTGCCCAGAGTGGGCTCAAACTCACCCATTTCAGGTATTGTGAACCTCACAGGATACGTGTTTTATGGCAATGTCCAAACACTATTTTATATAGTAGAACCACATTATAATCAGCAATATTTTCACATAAGTTTCTCTAAGTGGTCCTGAGAGGGGAGGGTAAATCAGAACACCAGCCTCAAGACATTTCTGTGGTGACCTTGGCTTCATGGAATGACTTCCTACCCACTGTGTATTCCTGCACAGCCTGATGCAGAGTGGCTCCAGGGAGGGGACAAAGAAGATGGGGCTGAGGACAGTCAGTCCCTCAGCTTTCTTTTCCCTAAAAGTGTCCTTAAAATTTTCTTTTTAATCTTTTATTTATCCATTCAGTATAGCATCTCGCTATGCAGCTCAGACTCACAGTGAGCCTCTTGTCTCAGCCTCCCCAGCGCTGGGATCACAGGCATGTCCCACCACACCCAGATTCTGTGGCCAGCAAAGTATGCCCTGGGGTTCTGGGGTTGGTACAGCCCAGTGCACATGCAGCACTGGGAATAGCACCTGGGTCCTTGAGCTTGCCAGGCAGGTGCTTACATGACTCAGCTATCTCCCCAGCCTCCCAATAGGGTCTTTAAAAGGTGCTGCTAGAGTCCTCTGCAAACTGCTTGGGACTGAGTTCTTCCCGAAGCACAAATGACTCACACAGATGATGACTTGAGGGTTCCCAGGGAAATTTACTGAGCTAGACTTGACTTTAAAGCAGAAGGCATGGGGCTGGTAAGATGGCTCAGTGGTCTAAAGCACCTACTTAGAACAAGCTTAGCAAAGCACAGGGACCACGGTTCAATCCGCCAGCACCACATGCCAGCCAGCCCCGCCCCCTGGTGGGCTGAGCTGGCCACACATACACACACACAAATAAATAATTTAAAAAAAAATAATAAAGCCACGGGATAAATTCTGCCTGTAAGTCTGAGCAAAAATTCATCAGGGAATTGTATTTCTGTGCAAGTGTGTTTGGCTGTTATGACAAAGTACTTGAAGCAGGCTAGCTTTAGAAAGAGAAAAGTCTAGCTCGTAGTTTAGACGTCAAAGAGCATAGGCTCTCGAAAACCCTCGACCTTCTCACCACTGTATCACATCACAGGGGATGGCACTAACAACAGCAGGTACGAGAGCAGGGTTGGAAAGAGCGGGGTTCCAGAATCCCTCCTGGGGGTACACCTCCAATTGTCCTGAGGCTCTCTTGCATCCTCGGAAAGCTTCGATCAGCTTCTGGAGAACCACCTCGTAAGTCTTTTTATTTTTAAACCAGGTAAGTGGGAAGGGCAGCAATGCCCACTCCTCAGGGCTGCTAGGAGAATGGGATCATGTATGTAAAGCCCTCTGCACAGAGGGGAGAACGCGGGAGCTAGTGTAAGCCACCTCCTCACCTGCTCTCTTGGAGAGACAGAGCCCTGCAGCTGGCACAGCGGCCTTGCCTGCCACCAGCCCACAAGGTATTAAAAGGCAAATGTGGCTTTCCATACCCCAATCACCGGCTGGGCCAGGGCTACAGGAAGGGCAAGAGCACCGCCAGGCCACAGGCTTCCGCACCTAGGCTTCCATGGATATGTGCTGCTCAATCTACTTGATGTCATAATTTTAATTTTGTCCAGTGCTGCTCCTGCTTCCTTTCAGGAGCACTCGCCCCTTCACCTACAGAAGTCCTCCCATCGTTCATTTTCTTTTTTTTTTTTTAATTTTTCTTCTTCTTTTTTATTAATTTTATTGAGAAACAAATAGCAATGAGACAGTTTCAAAATTGATTAGGACAGTTTCAATAATTAATACATTGCATATTGTTGACTTCGTAGTGGTTATTCATAGTACAAGATACAGACATGATAGTCTGTCCAAATACTATTAGTACAAATCTTTCTTCTCATTGAATTAAGAGAAAGTAGCTGTATATCTATCCTTACTATTTTGTATATGCAGATACAAAATGGTCCTTCATTTGTATCCCCTCTTTTTGTTTAGTTTTGTCAGAGATGGGTATTCCATTACCATTTAAATATCGTAGGTGCATGAATTCAGCAAAATAATTCAATATAGTTCAGTAGATCATAATAGTAGTGGGTTATCTGCAGGACTGACAATGTCAGAAGTTGTTGACTTGAGCTTTTTACAGCCCAGCATATTAATATGGCTTTACTTTTTATATTTCGTTTTTATACTTTTCTGCTGGATGGTTAAGAACAAGATAAAGGAAAACCTATATAACAAGAAATGTAAATTTTGTATCAATCAAATCCCTTCAGGATTTAGCCTGAAACCTTGTACCGCAGTTTGTAGATCCTTTGTCAGTGTCAGCCATGTGGACGAGTCACGGCCACTGCCTGACCAATTTGCTCTCTGTGAAAGCCTGAGAGAATGTTTTCTCTCCATATGACTCTCCTTAGGCACATTCTACATCATCAATCACTTTACTCTGTGGCCCCATAATCTCCTTGATTAGTAAATTTGGAACACCATTGAGTTATAGGATGTTACAGTTCAGGTTCTCCTCTGTCCTGAGTACTCACTGACCTTGGAAGGCTAGGGCCAAAATGTTGGCTGTCCTTGCAGCCCTTCTTTTTCTCTAATTTTCAGTCTGTAAACTTAAGTTGCTAACCCTCCAAAAGAGAAGCTTAATGATATTATCTCCCTATAACCTGGGCAGTTGAGTCTAACCTGTCTGAATATCAAACATCTTAGACATAACATGGAACAGGTATTTTCCACCATTGTTTGTTTTCAAAGGAAAAGCATGCGGGGTCCTGCCCTGATACCAGGGCAGGCTCACTGCACATTCTCTGCACTCTCTGCACAGTTCCTCAGTGTCTCAGTAGTGCATGGAACATGCTATAATCCTTGAATAAAAATTGGAGAAACGATAAAAAAGAATGAACATGAAAATTCTGAGCTCAAATTACACACTAGGATTTAAAAGTGGAAAGAGTTTGGGGACAAGTTTTCAAAGCCTTTCTGCACTACACTACATTTTTCAGTAAATCCTGACCTCCTGGACCCCAGATGTTGGGGATTAGTTGGTCTGACAGACCAGCACTGTAGGTATGAAAGAAAAATGGGTGTGAATTACAACTGTCTACAGCCCTCAGGCAGGAACTTCAAGGCATCTCAGGATGAGTAAACCTACCAAATACATGGACAGTTTTATTCATAGCAGGGATGTGGGTCATCAGATGTGGGCATATCTGCCCCCCACCCAACCCCAACACAGCTTTGTACTAAAAACTGTAAAGGACAAAGAAATAATACACTCGGTGAACACAGGCAGCCTGTGTGCTTTATTTGTTTCCTTCTTGCTGGGAACAAGCAGCTGTCATGGAGCTCGGGGCCTGCCTAGTGCGCACCCGGGCTAGGTTCAGAGGTGGACCTCACTGGACAGCAATGATGAGCACGTGGGCTGGATGCTGACCCCAGGCTGATCCATCTCTGATCAAGGTGCTTCCACTGAGACATGAGGTAGGTGTTGGATGGTCACAGTTTCTCAAGAGCCCCTGCCGGATGCTGGGCTCCAGCTCCAAGACAGCAGTGTGCTGCCCTCACCATCCAGAGAAGGGTGGGACCCAAGAGCGCTGTGGGGGTCGGGGCCGCACTCGACTCAGTGGCCACAGTGGGGCTGTAGTGCCACCCTGATCCCAGCAGCCAGGGCTTGCGGTGTGGGGCTCTCTGCAGTACAGCTCACAAGCAGCCCCTCGGCAGCCAGAGCACGTGCTGTGGTGGGGCCAATGGCTGCCAGCTGCAAAGTGGAAAGAGACCAGAGGGCTCAGCACCCCAGCTTACACCCCATGCTCTTCTTGGCCCCTCAGAGCTGGCTCAAGGGCACTGTGTACACCACAGGGTTATTATTACTTATGAACTCATGACAAACATAGTTCCTAAAAAGTGGGAATGTAAATTTTTAAAATTAAAACATGAAAATGGTAATGTATTTGGAATGGATAATTATTTCAAAATGTATAGTCAGGAGAAAAGGAAGGGAAGGATGGAACCTCTGTGCACTGCTCTGTGCTAAGGACTTCACTTGAATTCTCATCCAATCCTCTGCAGGGAAGACCACACACATCTACAGAGGCCATCGAGGGATAATTATCCCCATGTTACAATGAGGAACAGATTCAGAGACAGCTCTGAAATTTGTGCCAAGCACCAGGAAGGAAGTGATGCTGCCTTTCTAGTCCTACGGCCGCGGCATGAGGGTGTCTGCTAGGCCAGGCGCTCTTTCACTTGACAAGGAAACTCTAGGACAAACAAAACACTGTCTGAAAAGGATCCAAATCTCATAGATTACCATACCTTAATTTGATCAATGCCATCACCAGATAACTCTTGAATGTGCTTGAGACTGTATCTAAGACCAGAGGGACTGAAAAATGTGACACAGGCTGGGATGCCCTGTGGGGAAGAGAGAATGAGATTGTCCCTTACCTTAGACTGAGGAAAGACAACACATCCCAGGTCTATTGGCATGAACTCCCCCAGCTATGGGCAGCCCTGGTGGCTTTACCATAGATGTGGTCCCTGTGAGGCTGGGTCTCTCTGTCCCTAACAGGACCACCCCAGAATCGGGCAAGGCATTTCTCCCCTGGGAAAGCCAGGGGAGGTATATTCTGAAGAGAAATAGGGAAGACATCAGTCAGCTCCATACGAGCTATCCACTCTCTGGCCTGAGGCCTCCCCAAACTCAACCCAGTTCCACAGTGGGCTCTTCCAGTACAGATGCACTCTTGCCCCACAGGATGGAGAGCAACGGTCACTCTACACCGCAGGCTTAAATTTGTCTGAGGTGCTATACAAAGAGCGCTGCCTCAATTATCCGATCTAATCCTTACAAGTTCACTAGATGGGTCTGTTGCCGTGATGGCGACCCTTTTAGAGACGAGTGCCCAAACCCACTTATTATCACAGTGCCAACATGAGATTAAACCTCCACACTGAGGCTTTAGTTTAGAAAAAGCAACTCATACATGAACACCTTTTTCTTCCAAGAAAAACAACACCCATGCCAGGGATTTGCCACCACTGGTATCCCCATCCCACAGTCACAGTGGAGCCTCAGAAAGTCCCCTGCCTCCAAGTCACCCAGCTGAGGCCAGGGAACCACACAGAGAATTGGCATCTGTAAGCTCACACGGCTTCCCTGGTGCTTGCCCCCAGGGCCTGCCCACCTTCCCTGGGAATACCCCATACCTGCTTGGAGTAGTAGCGGTGTAGGTTCCCTTGGATTTCGGGATGTGGAATGGTCTGATAGACAGTTATGCTCTCCATGGGAATCCCTGGGTATAATAAAAACCAGGGAAGGCTTTACTGCCCTAGGAACTGACAGACCCTCTGCCATGTCAGCACACAACCGGTAGGGACCCTCTCGTGGAACAAGGTGCTCAGAGGGCAAGGCTGAACTGAGGGCAAGGGGCCCTGGCCGGCTCTCAGTGGCCTACTAAGCACTGTGGAGGGCTCTGACTGTGGGGGAGGCTGAGGTGGTAGACAGAGGTCAAAGGCCAGAATCACCATTGTTCCCACAGATCCCTTGTGTTTCCATGTTTGTGTGAGTCTATGTCTACACAGGACTGTCCTTTGTCACTCCTTAAATCCCACTCAAAAGGGACTCATGACACTAGGAAACAAGGTCCGAGGGCAGCTCCCAGGAGGAGCTGTGCATTAGGAGTCCCAGCTGTGTCCTAGTTGTCTCGACATGGCCACGGGCAGGCTCTCTGGGCCTCAGGGCACCCATCTCTAGGGATGCAGTCAACATGTTCAAGTCACCTTTGTTCTTGAGCATATTCGGCAGGACTTCTCTTTTGAGGGTTCCACAGGGAAACAGAAGAGGCAGTGCTGGTGACTCCCCTGTAAATAAATAACCAAGCATACTGTTAAGAGTTTTGAAAAACTTAAAGAGTGATTCTGTGCCCTTCTAGGAGGGGGAGACTGCCCAAGGCTCTAGGCCAGGCTGTGTCTCAGCTCAGCCCTGGAATCCGTAAATGCAAGAGGAAATGCTGGCCTGCTGAGCTTGGAGGTTTCCGTGTGCAAACCGTGAACAGTAAGGTGAGTGACGATGCTTCAGAAAACCAACATCCCCACAGGCAAGATTATAGCTCTTTCAGTTCCCCATGATCTTCAAGTGGCTCCTTGGCCACAGCCACTATTTACAATGTAAGCTTTGCACTTCAAATCAGAAAGGTAAGGAGGGAGCCTGACAGTGGCCCTGGGGTAAAGGTTTCTCAGTCTCTGGAGTAGATGCTGGATGGCTCAAGGCTCAGGCCCAGGCATCAGCAGGGAATCAGCAGCCAGCGGCGGCTCTGCAGTCCCCTCCAGAGACACAGCTTATTATCCGCTGCTGTTGCAGGTCTGCAAGCAGCCGCTAAGCTGAGTGTCGGAATCTTACCAAGTCTCCAAAGACAAACAGCCCCGCCTCTGTCTTCTGCTGCCCCTCTGCTCTGAAGCTTTACAAGCATTTCCAGCCCGAAGCACTTTGCAGGGTCCTTATTATAGCATGCAATTTAAACACAGTTTGCAACAATGCCATCCAACCAAACTGGGGGGTTGTCAGACGTCAGAATTTTCTCTGAATGTGAAAGCAAAGCACTTTTGTAAAAGCAACCCCTGACCTGTGCATCAGATGCAGTTTCAGTGGGCGTGGGTCATGCGCTGCCATTATCCTCTGTATCCTTAAGACCTCTCTGAACCTATGTTCTGTAACTACAGTTAGAAAGAACAAAACAAATTCTGCCCATCTAGCACCATTTCCTTGAAGCAGCAGCTAAGCAAGGCATTAAATTATTTATTTTTTTTATTTTAGGGAAGGGTCTACAGGGTGTTGAGGGTCTCACTCCTAGATCAGACTCATAATGATCTGCCTATTTACAGCCTCCCAAGAGCTGGGATTACAGGTATGTACCACCACGTCCAGTCTCAATCCCAGT